ATATGGTTGTGTTGTGATTGATACTGGCTGTGTCAAAAAACACAAAAACATCACTTTTTATCAAATTTGGCACAACAAGAGAGGAGTCTATTCGTAGAGTGAACTGGTGCCGCCAATAATCGGCTCCACCCAACCCGAACCGATCCGCATTGGACACCCTATTAAAATCTACTTTATAGAATAGGCCTAAATTCGGGTAACTTGCCAGTCTCCCTGTAAATGTACTTTATTTACAATGTAATAACCCTCTACAGCAACAGTATCTTTGGGGGTTTTTTCTGACTGGGTGCCATAACTCACACATCCCGGGTCAGCTCTGATAGACAGGGTTGGAGCATCCTGTCTTTTAGATCAATACATCAGTGACAATGAGCCTATTTGTAAATGCAAGCATAATAATATAATAATAATATAATGTGAGTATAAGTGTTGATACAGGTTCTGTAGAAGAGTAATTCTAGGTGTGTGTGGGTTTGGGTTTAGATAGCCTAGGTATGGGCACGCGCGTGTGTGTTTACGCATATGCATGTGTGTGTGTGTGTGTGTGTGTGTGTGTGTGTGTGTGTGCTCGCATAATTATGGTGAAGACCAAACCCAAGTGCCAGCATCTGAATAATACAGATATATAATAGCTCATCTATCTATCTTAAGATCAGAGTTACATAGACAACTACGTCTGCCTCACATACGAATCCTCCTCCTCCTCTTTCTTTTTCATCATTGTTGATTGGTAAAAAAAAGAAGGTCTTTACACGACTGCGGTTCACAGCATGGTCGGGTGACCTACTTTGAAAGAACCCTCGGATCAAGCCCTAAGACCTAGTCAAGTTTGTTGTTTGTTTTACGCTTCGACAGGCTCATCAACCAACACCGCCACCTTCCCTTCGAGAGAAAGAAAAACCGAGCAAAAAAAAATTAACCCTTTCCCTTTCAATTATGCTTCAGTTCTACAAAAGAATCACATTATGCAGCCTCGGAGGAAGCCGTTTATTTTAAAATGTAGGTATTTTAACATCTCCGTCCACAATTTATTAGACCATTTAAGAGGCGGGCTCCGACCATGGCTATCAGGGTCAATCCCGGCTAAGAGGGATAAAACGTCCCAGCAGAAAGACCAGGATAGTCAATAAAAATAATGTTTTATCAATGCGATGACAAAGAGACTAACCACTATGTCGCAGATGACAGCGAGCAATTTAGGGATGTGCCACTGATGAGTGCGCAGGTTTTTACTATTCTGTACTCACTGAGAGCGCGCATCTTCGTCATTTATCACAACTCTTCAAGACGCTCTGTTTCAGGGCACTTTAGAAAGAAAGTATAACAATAACTTCATTTTTCTTTAAGGTCCTCTTATTCTACTTGTTTTATCTGAAAAAAAAAATTATAGAGGCTGGCAACACCAAACATGTTTTGAATTTACATTTTACTCGATTTTCTGAGTAGTGTTTGATGGTGTGAAATGTGACACCACGGTGCCTTTGGCCTGTTCCTCATCGGACATATTATGTGTCACGACGCGATGGAATCCGGAACTCGCAATTTTTAGGCAAGTGGAGTTATTGGTTTCATATTAAAGCTTCTTCGTTTGTCTTGCTTCCACTTCCAATGAAAAAATACCCATCTATCTTAAATAGGAATCAAGATGTTTCCGATTGAATGAGGTGGGGGTCGGCTGGCTTCAGAGATAAAAGTTAGCAAGAAAATTGCCGCCAAAGTTTTGTGGCTTTCAAAGCTTGAGAATCGTTGAAAACAGTAACTTTATTTTTCGTGCCATTATTAATCAACATTCTTTCACGGTGAAATCCACACCGAATAGTGTTTTTACTGGGTTATAAAAGGTTTTGAGAAAAAAAAACCCCAACAAAAACAAAATAAAGCACCAAAAAAAAATTGAAAAAAATTGAAAAAAACCCAACATTGAAACATAAATGTTACAATTCGGGAACAATTCCAAACGGACAGCAAAAGGCCGGTTTCTTCAATTTCATTATTTTGACGACAGCTTGATTTCACCACAATGCCTTACATAATTTGTTTGTCCGCTACATCCACCAAAAAGAGATAACTTGGCTCCTGTGTACGGATATCACAACAAAGTGCAACAACAAGTCAATTTACGCAAAACATGAGCTCACCAACTCACTTCTCACTACTTACTTACTGATACGGCCCCCACTGACACGAAAAGTTTTATCTTGTTTTCGGAGTGCTTGTGCCATTCATTCCCACAACAGATGCATAACACAACGGATGTGTACAAAGGTGGATGAAAAATAGAGTGAGAAGAAAAGTATGAAAGAGTTGAATCATCCACAGCACACGGCCCAACCTGGCTTGTGATCTCGTTTTCTGTTGTGTAATCGAGTGTTCTGAGGCATGTTAAAACTCTAGGAACAATGGGCTGTGGATGAGAGAGGGACAATAATATAAATACATTAATTTGGGATGAAGATGTAGAACTAACTAGATCAGTCCAACTTGCTCCAACGACCACCAGTCTAAGACCTTTACAAAGTACCATGGCTCCCCCCC